CCCCAAAACCCCAAAACCCCAGTTGGTTTGAATCTATTTGTAAAATTAGAAATTTAATAGAAAATAATCATTAGAATTATGATCCCTCAATTGCCATGTTATAAGATTTTTTTACCATAGTTAAATTTTCCTTCTTGTGATATTACCCAGGTCCTAGTGCATTGCTGCTTTGCTTGATAATATAAGAACTAAACTTAGGATTGAACTTTTTCTCAGAGGTGTTGAATCCTGTTTTGCTATTGTTTCTTGAGCTTCTCTTTTTTGTATCAGGTCTAGTAGTTGCATTGGTATTGAGATCATATGAACCAGGTCCAGGCACCTATTCCAAAGTTTGCTTGGCTATCTTATTAAATCCAAATCTTTCCTAAGACGATTCAAAAGATACAATTCTATTTAGACTAAATCTCTGAGTCAGTTGATTGGGCCTCACATTTTATCTTTAGGCTTGATTACTTTTATTAGCACACGCTATCATAAGAGCTCCCGTTTACTGCTAGTACTGCTGTATCTGAGATATTCTGTTTTATGCATCAGGGTCAGTGTTAATAGTAATGACATTTGGATCAGTCTGGTCTTGAAATTAAAGTCTTTTGCCCTTAGATTTGAATTAGAACGAACCTTATGATTTAGATTCTCTAATTTTGTTGTACTTGGTAGTTTACTTCTCTTTCTACTCAACATGCTATTGGTCATTCTTGTACGAAAGATCACTTGCAAGCTAAAAATCTTTCATATCTTACTCTATCTGTCTCTCTTGATCCTTTTTGTTCAAGTGGAATCTTGAAGTCGATGAACCGAACGGTTTCTTCTCAACCCCATATGTTTCTTAGTAATTTCTGTCACTTTAGAATTTAAGCAGGGTCTTGTTCAGACTCGAGTTTATTGGATTGTTAATGTCGATGTACACTCCAGGTCCAAGTTTATCAATCCTCTCTAGATTCTTGTTGCAATCTCGCTCCAAATGACTGTTAAAGCCAGGCTTTGGCTTCTAAATTGCTTCGAAATGCTGATTTTTTAGTCTCTAGAGAATTTTCTCCTTTGGGTCTTGCTAGAAATAGTTGCCTGGTCCTGGATTTTGCTCTTTATCGTAAACATCAATAAATGGACACTCAAGAATCCTTGTAATTTATGGCTGAATATAGTTAACTAATCAAGTATTACTTTATTTAGTGCATTTTGCAAGTAATTGGCATTTTTAGAGGAGATGTTATCGTTTAGCCTTGACTTGTCGATCCCTGATATCTTATCAGTAGAAATGTTCAAGGGATCTTTAAAAGGCTCATAGGCTCCAGGTCCCGGTAAATCAGCATTATCTATTTTCCTATCTTTGCAGTTAGGGACTTTACTGCCAAATATAGCACCAGCGCTATTTTCTAAAATACAAATTATATCAATTAAGCTTACTGCAAAAATCTTTCTTATCAGTGGGTTAAGTCTTCTTATCATAATCTGAAGGCCCAGGCAGCGTTTCATTTATTTAAAACACCTCTCTGTCTACCTTTGATTTTGAAAATAAGGAGGCAGAGGTCTTACTCTTCACCAGATCTGTTTTGGGGTCGTAACCACTCGGTCCTGGTGTATCTTAATCTATTCCTGAGTATCCATTTTTATGAGGCTTTCTACTTGGTATGGTGGGTTTTTATTTTCTTTTTTTCTTATTTTCTCCCTCAATTTCTTAAATTGCTTATTGAATCCTTTACTTCTTCATAATTGCTTGCTCTTTGAATATTTCTTTAATTTGTTCTAATTTATTTGTCTTAGTCCATTCTGCATTGATATCAGTGTAGGTACCAGGACCAGGGTTCTCAACCTATGTAGATTAAAACTCAGTGCCAAGCATTGCCATTGGAGCTGCAAGTCTGGGTTTTTTAGACATAAAACTGCTGGATTATTTTGGAGGTTTTTGAATTACCGATTAGCTCCTGGACATTTTAGTTGTACTTAGGAGTTACTACTAGTGGACTTCAAAATTATCTTAAGGATTTGAACCAGGTGAAAGCATGGATGTTTCAATTGGAATGGCCATTAGTGTTTTGCCTTAAACAAAAGAAGATGAAAGCTAAGATACTTAATCTACTGGTGTTCCTCTTATATTTTGGTTTCTGGAGCTCTATGGGGCTAAATAAAATACTATTTGCAAATATAAATACCTGAAGTATTATTTGTGCTTCCAAATCTTTCAGTCATTGAGCAAAAAGGGGCATAGCCATTGGCTTTTCTGGAAGAGAAGGGAACTTTGTTCAAATTATATGACCCTGGCCCTACTTTCTAGCCTGAATTAGGCTCTTTCCAAAATTCAGTGGTTCTTCTTGCCTTAAATACTTCAAACGACATTTATTTTAATTCTTTATTTCTTAATCTATATTATAAAATCAAATTTTATTCTTAGGGGTTTTGGGGTTTTGGGGTTTTGGGG